TCCAACTTTAACAATTTGTAATATAGAAAATTATATAAAAATTCTTACTTTCAACCATTAACCAGATAAACTTTGTTGAGCTTACGAGTGACTCGTTTTAATTACATTGGAAAATCAAAAATAAATAAAATTAAAAAAAATAGTCAAAGATTCTACATCCCACCTCAAACTCAAATTGCAACTCCAGCAACTCTCCCTCGATTCAAGGACACCTGAATCCCAAACGCCTCTGCCACATCTCACCAATCCCAATTTTCCTTAAAAACCTCCAATTTTTCATTTCTCATGGGATTCACATCCGATAAATCCTCCTCTAACCCTCATTCAGATCTCGTCACCCCTCTCGCATCCCCTCCCGCCATGGCCGCCGCCGCCGGAAAATCCTATTGGCGTTTCGGCAAGGAGGATTTCTTCCCCGAGCCCACCTTCTCCGACCTCCCCACATACCTCTCCGCCCTCCGGGACACCCCCCGCCGCCTCCGCGACCGCCTTCTCGGCCGGTCCTCTGACTCCGACGAGCTCGTCCGGAGCAAGCGACAGTCGGAGAATGAGATGAAGAGATGCCTAACGTGGTGGGACCTCGTCTGGATGGCCTTCGGCTCCGTCGTCGGCTCCGGGATCTTCAGCATCACGGGCCTGGAGATGCACGACCACGCCGGCCCCGCAATCGTCATCTCCTACGCCCTCTCCGGCCTCTCCGCCCTCCTCTCCGTCTTCTGCTACACCGAATTCGCCGTCGAGGTCCCGATCGCCGGCGGATCCTTCTCCTTCCTCCGGATCGAGCTGGGGGATTTCGTCGCCTTCATCGCTGCCGGCAACATATTGCTCGAAGGCCTCGTCGGCGCCGCTGGGCTGGGCCGGTCCTGGTCCTCCTACCTCGCCAGTATGATCAAGAGCGACCCCGATTGGCTTCGAATTAGGGTTGATTCCTTCGCGAATGGATTCAATTTTCTGGATCCTCTGGCCGTGGTCGTGTTGATTGTCGTGAACGGGTTCGCCATGACGGGCACGAAGAGGGCTTCCATTCTGAACTGGATCAGCTCGGTTTTCGGGGCGGCCGTCATCGTTTTCATCATCATCTTCGGGTTTGTGCATGGTAAAACCGAGAATCTTGTGCCGTTTTTCCCTCACGGTGCCGGAGGGGTTTTCACGGCAGCTGCAGTCGTGTACTGGTCCTACACAGGCTTCGACATGGTGGCCAACATGGCCGAGGAGGTTAAAAAGCCCTCCAGAGATATACCGATCGGGCTCGTGGGCTCTATGTCTTTAATCACCATTGTCTACTGCCTGATGGCTCTGGTTCTTGCTATGATGGTCAGGTACACTCAGGTCGATGTCAATGCTGCTTACTCAGTCGTGTTCGATCAAATTGGGGTGAAATGGGCCAAGTATTTGGTGAGCTTTATCGCGTTGAAAGGGATGACCACAAGCATGCTGGTTGGCTCGATGGGCCAAGCACGGTACACAACTCAGATTGCTCGTTCTCACATGATTCCCCCTTATTTTGCTCTGGTCCACCCAAAAACCGGCACTCCAATATACGCGACATTGTTAATTACCACAGGTAGCTGCATTCTTGCATTCTTCTCGAGTTTGGATGTTTTGTCGAGCGTGCTCTCGTTTAGCACGTTGTTCATCTTCATGCTCATGGCTGTTGCTTTACTGATGAGAAGGTACTATGTTAGTGGGGTTACCCCAAAGCACGACTTGTTCAAGTTTATATCCTCGTTGTTTGTTGTGTTCGTGGGGGCTCTTGGGGTTACGATCCTCTGGAGCTCAGGCAGGAGGGGTTGGGTGGGGTACGCTGTGTTCGGGTGTTTGTGGGCTTTAGGGACTTTAGGAATGGCTTTGACGTCGAAACATAGGGTTCCGAAAGTTTGGGGTGTCCCACTCGTGCCATGGCTGCCTTGTTTGTCGATCGGGATGAATCTTTTTCTGATCGGGTCACTTGGTCGGGTGGCAGTTTTGAGGTTCTTGATATGCAGTGCTGTCATGCTCGTGTACTATGTGCTGGCAGGGGTACACGCAACGTATGACATGGCGCATGCAGATGGGCCGGAGGCGAAGATGGAGGGAGGTGGGGAGTTTGTTCATTAGTTATATACAGGCTCGTTTATATATATATTTATTTATTTTTTGGGTCTTGTTCGTTTTACATGTCGTGCGATTAACTCGTTTGTGATGTGGTGCTAAGGCTTGGAAGTGCAGTTGGTGGGTTCTGGTGGTTGCCTTGCAAAATTTAGTTTGTTTTTGGAACTTGCTGATGAACTCAAATGGGTTGCAAGTTTTGAAACCAACAGACATGTGAAGAGAGCTGGGTTTCTAGTTACAATTGTGAATTGTTGTTACAAATTAATTATGATAATTGTTTATGAAAAGTTTGTGTTATTGGCTGAGTTAGAGTGTTAGCTGTTATGCTGTGTTGTGTCTATTAGCTCCATATATATCCAGGTTCTGATGCTAGAAACTTTAAAACTTGGTTTAATTTTCTTACTTAGGCATATAAGCAGGTGGTTTGATCAGAATGAGATTCCATGTTCCATTTCTTGTTCCGATGAATGAATGGCTGGTATACGATGATGTCATATTTGTAAATGTGTCATTCATCATTTCATCTAGTGAAATGAAACACGAAATGCGACATGAAGTGGAACAGAAGATCATGACTCGACAACAGAGAGACGGATATTAAGTTATATCTGTAAATGTTCATTCGTCATTTCATCTAATGAAATTAAACACGAAATACAACATGAAAGTGGAACAGAAGATCATGTCTCAAGCGCAAGAGAGAGAGTAGAATAGAGGGTAAAAGAGTAAACTACGATTCATTTTTTGATTGGGTCATTTTTTATAGGGTCATTTTTTATAATTTTCTAAATCAAAATTCAACTCAAATTTATTCAATTTAATTCTCTTCCGCATTAGCGATGTAATTAAATAATATCAATCAATTATTATCTTGCATTACATAAATTTTGATTCACTATTTATTAACTCATATAATTTTCACTACTTATCATTTTCAATAACTTCTCTTTCTTTTAAATCATATCAACTTTAATCATTATATTTTAAATAATATTTAAATAAAAACTAAAATTCTCCACGATCAATTTTTTTTTAAAGTAACTCGCTTTATCAATAACTCCAATAAAAAATATATTTCCAATCAACTTTGCTTAGGACATGGCCTTGTCTTTGACCCTAGTACATATAAATTTGATGGTATTATAAATAAGCGGAATTTACCATTAATAATAAACGGGAGTCTTCTTTAAAAATCCCTAACTCTCTTTCCAAGTTCCAAGTCAGTCCCTCCCCATATTTTCTTTCTTTTTAACTACCTACCCCCTAATTATCTTCCATTTAAATCCCTCCTATTAAAAAAAATGACAAAGAAATTTATATATAACATCATCCCACTATCTACATTATTAAATTATTTTTACTACCCACTATCTATATTATTAAATTATTTTTGCTACCTAAAATACATCTTTCTCACTCTTCTTCCTCATTACTTCTTCTTTCTTGCTTTTTTCTTCTTCAGCAGCACCGACGTGTAATTTTTTTTTTCGCAGCTTCATCTCGGCGTCGAATACAAACCGGACCCTGGGGCTTTTTCTGAAGGCAACAAATCCGGCGATATTAGGGATTTTTTCGGCCGAAAATCCCTGTTTCTCGGGCCAAAAATTGGTATCACTCTGTCCGAAAATTCTTATTTTTCCGGCAAGATTGTGACTTTTTCCGGCGAAAACATGAAGTAGTAAGTAATATATGTATTACATGGGAATTTTAAAGTTCAAAAATTGTCTTTAATTCATATATTTTTGTTTGATTTGTGAAGGATTGAATGTTGAATATTGTTGTTTATATTTACCTTAAAATAAATAAAGTGATCATAATTAGTTTTTTTGGTTCATGTATACTAAATTTATGCTATTGTTAGGTTATGTTAGCTGTTATTGACCATAAAACAAAAAAAACAAGATGGGAATAATGATAGTATCACTCTTCATGATTGTGTGTACCTCTGTTTGGATATATAGTACCACTTTGCTATTTGTTGGTACCATATTTGCTGGGAAATGTGAAGATTTTTTTTTTTTTTAAATCCAATTATTGTTACATACATGGAAGTGGCACAAAGTGATATATTAGGAAGTTGTACATACAAAGATGAAATGTACGTGTTATCTATAAACCTTGAATCAACTCTTGATGAAGTGTACTCTCTCATTGGTAAGAGATGCCCGATTCTTGGAGATATTGCATCAAAAGAGAGGAACAGATATTTGGGGGCGGTGTCGATGAATTCCGAAAGAGTGTTAGAAACTACGCAATTGCAAATAGGCGCTCTTTTAAGTATCGGAAAAATGACAAGCAGAAGGTCATCGTTCGTTGTAGCGATGCGGATTGTGAATAGAGAGTATATGCATCGTTATACAAAGGGGATCACCAGTTTGCCACCCGGAAATGCAATCTCGTCCATACTTGTGTACTCATCTCCATTCCAAATAGTGGGTAGTAAATGACACTTTATGAGTAATATTTTTTGTACAATATAGGTAATAGTTTTGTGAAGTTTTAATCGGTGTATTACATTTTCATTCCAGAAAGCTGGTACTAATTGATCAATAACAGGTACTTCGTAGAAGAAAGAGAGGTATTATATCCTTTCAAACTGGTACCAGCCAATGAGTTGAAGTGTATTAAGTAGTGTTTTTCCATTAGTGTGTTGAGTTCGTGACCAATTTGCGATTAAACTTAATTAACCAAATATAAAATATCATAGAAACTAATGACAGAGTGATTATGGGTCGGTCTTCTTATTTGTTAATTACAAGTGGTACTAGGGATATTATATCTGGTACTATCGCGCCATAAAGTGGTACTGCATTACACTATGACTGGTACTACTTTTTGTAAATGTTGAGCATATTTGAAATAATCAATTTTTCGTCACAAGAGTTGGTACTAATCTATCAATAACAGGTACTACGTAGAAGAAAAAGAGGTATTATTTTTGTAGAAATTGGTATCATTCAATGAGTTGAAGTGTATATTAACGTGTTTTTCCATTAGTGTGTTGAGTTCGTGACCAATTTGCGATTGAACTTAATTAACCACATATCAAATCTTATATAAACTAATGTCAGAGTGAATATGGGTCGTATAAACATCATTTGCGACCGAAATTCGGTCTTCTTATGTTTCATTACAAGTGGTACTAGGATAGGATATCTGGTACTAACTCTTCATAATGTGGTACTGCCTCACACTATGACTGGTACTGCGTTTTGTAAATGTTAAGCAGAATTGAAATAATCAATTTTTCTTCAAAAAAGTAGATACTATTCGATCGCTATCTGGTACCACGCAGAATAGGATGCGGTACCATATTTTCCAAAATTGGTACTATTATAAAAAAAACGTGATTTCTTTAATCCTTCATGTCTACCATGACACGTGGATCGTTCACACGTGATTTGGATGAAAAAAGTGGAATTAAAAACATATAGATAGAATTTGAAGTAGTCATGTATGATGATTTCTATGAAATGAAGTGTGTCATTCAATGAATGAAGTCTATTAGTAGTGTTTTCTCATTAGTGTATCGAGTTCATGACCAATTTGCGATTAAACTCAATCAAAAACATTAAAATCTTATATAAACTAATGCCAAAGTGATTATGAGTCGTATAAACATCATTTGCCACCGAAGTTCGGTCTTCTTATGTGTTCATTACAAGTGGTACTATGGACATGATATATGGTACTAACTCTCCATAATGTGGGACTGCCTCACACTACGACTGGTACTACGTTTTGTAAATGTTGAGCAGAATTGAAATAATCAAATTTTCTTAAAAAAAGTAGGTACTATTCGATCGAAATCAGGTACCACGCAGAATAAAATGCGGTACCATATTTCCCAAAACTGATACTATTATCAAAAATGTGATTTCTTTAATCCTTCGTGTCTACCATGACACGTGGATCGTTCACACGTGATTTGGATGAAAAAAAGTGGAATTGAAAACATATAGATAGAATTTGAAGTAGTCATGTATGATGATTTCTATGAGATGAAGTGTGTCATTCAATGAAATGAAGTCTAGTAGTAGTATTTTCTCATTAGTGTATCGAGTTCATGACCAATTTACGACTAAACTCAATCAAAAACATTTAAAATTTTATATAAACTAATGCAAGAGTGATTATGAGTCGTATAAACATCATTTTCGACCGAAATTCGGTCTTCTTATGTGTTCATTACAAGTGGTACTATGGACAGTATATCTGGTACTAACTCTCCATAATGTGGTACTGCCTCACACTATGACTGGTACTACATTTTTTAAATGTTGAGCAGAATTGAAATAATTAAAATTTCTTCAAAAAAGTAGGTACTATTCGATCGAAATCAGGTACTACGAAGAATAAGATGCGGTACCATATTTTCCAAAACCGGTACTGTTATAAAAAACGCGATTTCTTTAATCTTTCATGTCTACCACGACACGTGGATCATTCACACGTGATTTGGGTGAAAAAAATGGAATTGAAAACATATAGATAGAATTTGAAGTAGTCATGTATGATGATTTCTATGAGATGAAGTGTGTCATTCAATGAAATGAAGTCTATTAGTAGTGTTTTCTCATTAGTGTATCGAGTTCATGACCAATTTGCGATTAAACTCAATTAAAAACATTTAAAATCTTATATAAACTAATGTGAGAGTGATTATGGGTCGTATAAACATCATTAGCGACCGAAATTCGATCTTCTTATGTGTTTATTACAAGTGGTACTATAGAGAATATATCTGGTACTAACACGCCATAAAGTGGTGTTGTCTTAAACTATGAGTGGTACTACGTTTTGTAAATATTGACCGCTATGAAATAATAAATTTTTCTTTACAAAAAGCAGGTACTAATCGATCAAAAGCACGTGCCACGTTGACGAAGATGCAGTACTATTTTGCCTAAAACTGGTACAGTTTTAATGAGATGAAGTGTTGGTAGTGTTTTTTCATTAGTGTGTCAAGTTCGCGACTAATTTGCAATTAAACTTAATTAAAAACA